TGAGAATTGAGACAGAAACCACAATTAAGTGACAGTTTGAAACAGAGAGAGAACAGGGTTGATGTCATTGCCATGATGTCACAGCCGTGCTTTGATCAGGGCATTGGCCGGCTGACCTTCATGAGCCACCCTCATTTATCTCAGTGTCTCATTTGCAGCAGTTCTTCCTTTTCTTGAGGTCACGCAGTGCTCTGCAGGGCGACAGGTTGCCTGCCCTGGCTGCCTCAAGCCTGGCTGTTTCAGGGAAAAATAAAGGAGAAGCAGAAAGATCTGTACCAGAATTTGAAGACTTTGTCTGTTGGGAGTGGTTGAGTGGGCTTGGGATGTTACTGCATCTGTTTGCTTTGGTTTTTAGCTCATCACTCCAATACAGTTCCCCAGCAGCATAGGGAATGGTGATCTTTGCTGTGGTGATTTAGTGAAGTGCTGAGGTCCAGCACACCTTAACGTTTAATTCTAATCTCCTTGAGGTAGGTTTTGAAGTCTCCCGTAGCCATTCTTATTCTACAAGACCATCTAGAAAACAATAGTTGCTACTTGGGATGGATGCTGCGGCATACATCATTTTAAAGGAGATGAAATACCCATAGCGAGACCTAATTTTCTTCTTGGTGTATCAGTGAGAACTCTAATGAGGCACAAAAACACTATTATGCATTTCATTTTTTTCCTTATAGTTTCTGTCTGCAGAATGGCAATCGTGGTGTGGCATGTAGTTGTGTTTTATTTATTTACTATTATTTTAAAATTCCTAGCTTTTCTTCGTGCGGGCGCCGAGTTTGATCCAGCCCTCTAAACAAAATGTTGCTGTTTGGTTTTGGAGGAACCTGGTGTGTGTGGTAAATGTGATGGCTGCATTCAACCCTCTGCTGTTCTGGTAAACATTTAGTGTGATGCTGTGGTTCGTGGACCCTCTTTGCCTTTACATCTGTCCAAAATAAAGCAGATTTTAGGGAAAGGATCTTTTATTTTCACATCTATTTTGCCCATGTGTGTCCATAGCCATAGCAAATGGTTTTGTCCCACTGAATTGCATGGCTGCTGGGCTCCTGTCCAGCTTTGGTGGGACCTTTGGTTTTCCCTGTGGTCAGTGGGGAAGAAGTTGGTGCTGTGAAGGTGGCTTCATAGCTTGTGGAATGCCTTGTCCAGGCTCCCTTCCCTAAGGAATTAGGAAGCAAAGCTCAGACCAACTTCCAAAAAAGGTCTTGTGAGCCAGCTTCTCCTGGAAGCCCAGTAGAAGCAGGGAAAGGACTTCCTGTATTGTGAATATCATGATGCTTAAGTATAGGCTATGTATTAAAAGCAACGAGGTAGCAGCACACAGGCATGGATCCAGTGACTGAGCTTTCCTTGACGTCATTTGATATGTAATTATAGGGAGATTTCGTAGCATGCAACAGCCAAAACCTGGAAATACTGCAGAGGTTTGTTTGGGTGTCTTGGCTATCAAAAGATCCCAGCCATATGAAATAATCCCAAATAATCAGCATTTCATCTCCCAGACCATTACTGCCCTGTTCTTGATGCTGTTTTTTTTTTTGAGTTTGCTAAAGCTTCATTATGGCAATTACAAACAGATGGTGAGGTAACTCATTTTATGTGTCAAAACAATCAGTTTGCAGAGGGGGGAAAAAAACCAACAAACTGCGTAGTGCTTCTCAGAAGAAGAAATTGGATTTCTGTTCAGGGGAAAAATAAAATAAAAAACAACAACAAAAAACAAGTAGGAAGTGGTTTCTGTGTGATGGCCGTGTTTTGGGAGCTCTCTGATTGACTTGGCTCTGTAGAAGAAGCAGCTGAGCGCTGGAGACCCTGGGATCTGCATGCTTGGGTTGTGCTGAACCTTCAGGAGAGCCTTGCTGGTCCCTGCCCACCTTTCAGCTCTCCATGCCCCAGCTGGCTGCTCCTAAACGTGTTTTAGATGCAGACAACTCTATCTTGCTGTGCTTACAGCCCCTGACATTGACTTCATTTATGAATGAGTAGTGAGTACTTGTGCCGCTTGGCTCCTCTGCCTGTAAAGATGTAGATCACCCTTAAGTTATTAGGCTTATTATTTATTTTTCTTTAAGATAATTAGGTATGTAACTATCCCATTCCTCAGCGCTGTTTACCTTCTCTCTTTAAGAACGTAGATAACCATAATGCTGTCCTTATCCATCAGCACATTTCATCACTTGGCATTGATGGGCAAATTCTGCATTTGCCATCTCAGTATGAAGGGAGAGGGACCACAGGAAATCAGCCCTCAGTTCTGTCCTGATGAATAAGTTCTTTTTCCTCTTTTTCATTAAATTCAAGTGGAACACATTCTGTAAAGGCGAGTCTCAAAGGGACTTCTCTTTATATTCCCGTTTATGTTAAGTGAGCACTGTGAGATACTGTGCTACTTGCAGTGTCACTGTGGGCCCTGTTGGGCAGAAATCACTCAGAGTTATGGGTCAGAATGGAGAAGTGCTGACAGAGGTGTAGGAGCCTTTTATAACTGATGATGTTTGCAAGTAAATATAGAAAACAGCATGTATTTGTACATGCTAGTTAAAACTTGAAAAGAGATTTTATCTCCAGCTATTTTCCTTCAATAAACTTTTTTTTCTCCCCTATTTAATATACTTTTAGACTTTTTCCTATTGTCCTAGCCTAGAGAATTTGCTGTGGAAAGAGATTTGCTTGAACTGAGATCTCTTCCTTGTGCTGTTGCTGCCTGGCAGGGTAGGCATGGGCAAACCACTTTGCTTAACTGCATGTCATCTTCCTGTAATGATGTGGAAGAGATTTTGTATTTTCTTCCTTGTTAAGCAGTATAAACACAGCTATAGGACGTAGTTGTTTTTTCTATTCTTTAAGATGTTTAAGTCTATTCTTTAAGGTGCACATAAGAGAGGCGATGTCCGTGTTTGTAAGTGCTGGGAAATTATTTCACAGTAGAGGATGAGGAGAAACCCATATGGGGAAACCCTTCTAAAATGAGTCTACTTACACATGCAGGAGTTATCTCGATGCATTTCCATGGAAAGGAGAAACCTTTGGGCAGTTAATTCCTTGATTTGGACAGCTTTATAGAGTGTGCAGGCTTTTCACATACAGAACTAGAAATCTAAGGCTTGTTAATATTCTTTGCACCTGCTTGTGCTAAACTGAAAACTCCTCCAGAATGAACTCGAACAGAAAGCCCCAAAAGAGTAATGTCTTATTGTGAAGCTGCTTGATTTTCTCCACTTGCTAATACTTTCCAAGTCATAAACATCCCAGTGAGTTTTGCATGTGTGCCTCCATATACACACCCTCATTCCTTAATGGGTACGATGAAAAACCTGCAGTGATTCACTGCACACTCACTGTGTATTTACCAGTGTTATCTCTGCCCATAGTGCTTGCCAGCTTACAGGAGTAGCAGTAAAGCTTGCTGAAGCTCTGTGGTATTGAAAGCCAAGTTATCAGCCTCACAAACAAGTGAAACCACTGCACAGTTGTACTGTATGCCTTGCAGAGAGCTGCTGATCATCACTCTCTGATCAACATGGGATCACTACCAGGAGCCTTGGGTTAATGTTTCTTACTTAACGTAGTTAATCATCGCCTTATCAAACTGTGACCACGCTTTAATGTGCGGTCCTGAAAGCAGCTCTGCAGGAATGCTGGAGGGAAGTTCCAGTCTGTTTGCTTCGGACTGGGAGGGAGGTTTTTACTGGTTAATGAATCCAGAGGAGGTTTGCTTCCTTTGCCTGGTACTGGAGAGTTCAGGTAGTTCTTTCAGCTCAGTACTTTGCCATGGAAATGTAATTTAGAAATACGATACCAGAACAAGGAGTCATGGGCTCCTTATTTTTCCCCTCTTTTCCTTGCTGCTTTAAGAGGAACAAGAGGGTAAGTTTTTTTTTTCCTTTTTCCAGTTTGAAATAGTCTGTGCTGAAGTGTGTATGGAAAAAACCCTTTTCTGCCTGCAGTGTCCTATGATGCCTTACAAAGTGCTGTCCCTCAGCAGGAGCCCACCAGCAGAATTAAGGGAAATTTTAGTAAAAATTTACTACAAAAAATACAAAAAACTTTGTGTACAACTGATGTGGCAGCATTCAGGTTCTGCTGTGCCTTTGTGGCTGAATGAAGGAGGCTTGTTTTGCAATGCTCCATCTGCCAGCTTTTACCTTCTCCAGTCAATTCATGGAGCACAATCGTTTTTCTAGCTGCTAGCAAGCTTTGCCATTTGTCATTATTCTTGAGGTGCTTGTAATTGTGCTTTTGGGCTGTGCAGACAGTGAAGGGGGCACTGTCTCTGGTAGAGCAGTGGCACGTTGTGCTTCGTTGGGTGCTGAGTGCCTACCCACAAACACTGCTGGTGTGGCAATGAAGTGGTGGTCAGAGGGGCCTCAGTGACTATCATTTATGTAATCCAATCTCTCACACAACATTTAATACACAAAATCACAACCCCTACTCTTTCTTGACTTGCCATTCAGTCCTTTTAACTGCTCTTTCCAGGTGTGCTCCATAGGGCAGGCTTAGCCCTGGGGCTGAGGCAGGAAATCTGCCTGTGGAGAAGTGCAGGTTGCCCATCAGGGTTTGGCGGAGGATTGCTGGTAGATTATGGGCTTCATCAACCAACTCTCGCTGGCCATCATTTTGTATTGGGTGCTTTTGTCTTCTCTAAAGTGCCTTGTGATAATGAGGGTACCCAACTACTTTGAAGGGATTAAGATAGGTGTAAGGGGATGAATTTGCAGGATTTCATGTTCGAGGTAAGGGTAACAGATACCAACCCATCTGTGCTGTGGAGGGGAACAGGGCAGGATCAAGCCCAGACCCACAGATGGGTTTCATGCTGCTCTCATATAAGCCTGGAAGCAGGACTCTGCCCAGGGCTGCACTCAGAGGCTACTGTCTTCTGTCTGGCCACAAGGCTCAGGTTGGTGGATGGCTTCCATACTCCAGGCGTGGGGCGGGTGTACGTTCTCAGGACAGGCCTTGTTGCACCCTGGTGACTCCTCCTTCTTCTCTTGCAGGAGCTGAACCTCGAGTCCTGCTCTATGCTCACTGGGGGAAGGCCCGGAAGGACATCTCGGACTGTTGGTGCTGCTTCATGCAGTTCAAGTAAGTTCGCATGTTTTGACAGCTCTTGGGTACAAGCGAATGCTGAGGCGATGTGTTTTGGGGAATGGGTTTGCCTAGCTTACCTGCTGGATGGCAAGGAGGGGATGAGGATATTAAAGCATTATGACAAGCAAATTTGAGGGGAAAAAAGTAGAAAAAAGTAGAATGGTATTGAATGGTACGAAGAGTGCTGAAGGTGCTGGTGAAGAATTACATTGGAGACTACGTGTCTCACAAGTGAACTCAGAACTTGATTCATACTGCAGTTGTACGTGTTCTCGCTGTTCCATTGAGCGTGTGCCACAGTGTGAAACAGTCCATAGCACTTAAGGCACCAGCTGCTCTTCCCTATTGTTTTAAGGCACTGTGCACCTGTCCCTGGGGGTAGACAGGTGGTTCTGGTGTTCTCAGCCTGAGGGTTTCTCCAGAAGCTGCTGGGGATGGAGTTGGGGCACACAGGGCTCCTGCCAGGGGAGCGTGGCTCGTTGTGAGCCTCTTGTGAGCCCCATGTGCTTCCTGCTCCATCCTGCAGTGCTCCAGGTGTGTGTTCAGTGCTGCTTTTTCAGTTCCCGTAGCCTCTCAATGTGGTGAACCAGACCAGGGTATGGATCTGACTTGTGGATGACATGTAGCTTCTGTAGGACCGTCAGGAACTGTTGTGTCTCATGCAGTTATAGTCGTTTTCTCCAAAAATACTTAAGTTGGAAAAAAACTGTTAGCCTAAAGCAAAGAAACTGCGGGAGCCTTCTTTGGAAATGGGTGCTTGCAGTGCTTGGCCTCTGTCAGAGGGTTGTTTTCTCCTCTTGTGTGTGTAACCTGTTTACCTTCTGTGGAGTCTCACATTTTCCATGGCTGTGCCCAAGAAGACTGGTGCAAAGCAGTGTGGTTAACAATGCTGGGCCCAAATCATTTGGCAGTGTTATAGCAACAGCTGGGTGGATTAATCATAAGCTGCTGCTGTGCTAGGGAGACAAGCATTTATTGTGATTATTTTGGTTTCCTTTTTTTTGGATGGGGTTGGTAGGGGTGTTGTACCTGTTTGCTGTTTTTGAGGGAAAAAAAATAATTGTCTTAGAATCATGGGTGAAATTATGAATGAAACCTCTGTTGGGAAAGCATTCCTTTGAGGATGTGGCTGTCAGAGGGCTGGTCCCTGCATCCATCATGAGTTCCGATCATTAGCTGGATGTGCTGCACATGGCTAGTGGAGGAATGCAATACATGAGTTTCTGTGTAAGACAAGTGGTTTGCTGTTTGATTTGCTACCAGGCTGTCCAGGGCCTCGTCCAGCCATAGATGGGGCATCACAGCTCTGGGCAAGCTGTTCCAGTGCCTCATCACCCTTCTGAGTAGTTTCTTAACTTCCTGTTAATTTCTGGAGCACAGGAGCATGCATTGAGCAGTGCCTGCTGGAAAGGAAGGTGCAAAGGTTTCCAGTGCCAGGGCAGTGAGTGCTGTTTACCTGGCTCTCTGGGAACCAACATCTGCACCACGACTGCTTTCAGATGTGTGTTCTCTGATGGGTCTAGGAAAAAAACTAAACTTGAGTTTAGGAGCAGCTTTCCTTATTCCTCAAAGCCTTCCCTCATTTTGGCTGCTGGTCCAGCGTTTCCCTAACTGTGCTTGTAATGATGATCCCTTCATTTCATTCATGGTTACTGCCTAATGAACTTCATGTTAATGAATTCTGTAACATTTAAAATAGCTGCATAACTTGATGAAAAACAAACAAAAAAACCCAAGAAATATCAATAATAAAGGGATGCATTTCCACTCCCCAAATTTAATCCTGTGTTATAACATAATTGTGCAGAACTGCCTGGCTGGTGAACAGCTGCACAGCGTGGGCTCCTGGTTCTGCATAGCTGCTTGTCCCTGAGCTGGGGTAATAAATGATTTACTGGTGTGACTGCAACCTGTGGGCATTAACCCATTGGGCTCCTGAGGGGCCAGCCTGAAAGCTTGCTTTGTGAGGGCTGCTGGAAGCAATGATCTCAGGTGCAAAGCTTGGATGTCTGTTTGCAAAACTTACTTTATTGCTTGTGGGCTAGTTGCCAAAGGGATTGGACGCAGGGGGTGAGGTGGTGATATTGTGTAGGATCTGTGCTCATTTGAATTTGTTTGATTTTGTTTTTAATTTAATTTTCAGATTTCTATGTGTACTCTGTCATCTCTGCTTTAGAGATGTGATACTCTGTTGCTTTGGGTTTTGCTTTTTGTGATGCCTTCCCTGCATGCTGTATACTTAATGTTGTGTCTTACAAACTGTAACTCTGCTTTTTTCTCTCTGGCAATGAGTACCAGAGGGCTCCGTTAGTTGCTGGGAGTGGGTCAATGATGTACATTTTTCAAGACTCCCATCATGTGTATTCTAGCTATGCAGTGTATTAAAGGCTATCAGCTGAATTTTGCTCATTTGAAGAGGCACCCAGAAGGTCTGCTAAGGATTTCTGGCAGTTAATACTTGAGCCTGAGATAAATGTTTTGTGCCTACGTGAAACAGCTGCCCCAGAACCTGTTGGCGGACTTAATTTGAGTATAAACATACGTGTGCTTTTGCGTACATGCTGCACTATAATTCAAGTCGACTGTTAGTTCTTAACTTTATTAGGATGTGGCTACTTGAGCTGAAGATAGAGCCTGTGCTTTTTATTTTATTACAGCTACATGGTAGCTACTTATAAAATGCTGCTTGGGTTTTAGGACTCGGTATCTTAATTACTGTTTGCCATTAGTAATATTTTCAAGTAGCAATTGACAAGTGAGGGCAGTTATATCTTGTTACAAGTGGATTGGTTGACAATATGTGTGTACTGTAAAACGTGAAATGAATCGCCCTGTGCTGATGACCCTTGTACATTTACAGGAGACTGGTCTTTATGATACACAAATAGATTCCGGACACAGGAAAGAGGCTTATGACAAGAGGATGAGATCAGTTTGTATAATTAGAGCTAGCTAATAATCCTTTTACTCTCTGTTGTTTCAACTTCTACAGAGTCTTTGTTTCTTGGAAACCGGGCATGTGGAGCATATGGTGATAACCACAGCGATTTGAGTTTTGTGGGGTTTTTGTATCTAACGATGGCAGTGGAGAAACCAGGTGTGTGTTTTGGGAGTGATTGCTGCCTTCCTCTGCTGGGCCTGGGGGATGTGGCTGCTTTGGTTTACCCCGCATGGCTTGATCCCCTTCCACAGGTTGGGTGGTAAGGTGGGAGCCCCAAAAACCACAGCCCTGTGCTGCAGGCTGGGCTCCGGCCCGTTAACAGCAATGGAAGCCAAGCTACATTATGCAAAGCAAGTTAATCTATATCCAGAGCATTTTATTAAATCATCAGTCAATTAAATCAGTGACGCTCTGTTAGCTTTCGTTCCAGTGAGGCTCTGCATGCAGTTAAGCTGTTGCTGTAGCAACTCTTGGCCTTCTGTTGGTGGGGCCTGCTGCATGGGGAAGGCTGCAGTGCTGAGCTCTCCAACAGCATTTAACATTTAGGGCTGATTTTTCAGTTAAACTCATTCCTTCTCCATCCTTTGCTGAGGAAGGAGAGTGTCATGAAGTTGCATCTCTTTCTGGTGCTGTTAAAGCTGTCTGCATGCACCTGGTTGCAGTGGGGACTCGAAGACCTGCCAGTGGTCCTTCGGAGGCGAGGACAGCAGGGCCAGGCCGATACAAAACGTGTTTACATCTCCTCTCCATTGCTTGTAGCCAAATGAAACTCCTCTGTGTCTGTAATTGAATGGCAACATACGGTTTTGTTTGCAGACAGGACGCAGCTGGCAGGCAGCATCACCTGTGGAAATGGTGGAGGAGGGATTTTTTTTTTTTTTTGTAAGGAATCAATTTAGTTACAAAACCTAACCTTCAGCAAGTTACATGAATTCAGGTGGTTGTACACAAATGTCTGGGGTTTTGTGCTCAACACTTCCTCAGCTGCAATGGCACACGCTGTGCTGCCCTGCACTCATACCCTGATTGCTGCCACATGCTTGAGATGCAGCTCATCTCCTCACCCCTTTCTACATTCAGAGGCTTTTCCTAGTGGGATTGTGTACCTATGTGTTTGTGAGGTAACTTTTGAATGGGTTGCTTGCTTGATTCCTCCAGCCTCCTATTTCTGGCTAGCTAAAAAATCCTGCATTAATATAGCTACAGAGAAAGTCATTCTGCATTTAGTATTGTAATGCCTGGAAACACGTACGTTCATCTTCTGTCACAGAATCACAGGATGTCAGGGTAAGGTTTGTTTTAGTTGCTGCAATTGCTGCTTGATTTATACGAATTTCTCCCTGCTTACAGCTGAAGAATTGGGTCACTGGTTTATTTCTCCTGCCTAAACAGAACGCTTGTTGGTTTTGCTCTCGGTTTTATTTTTTTATTCAGTCTGCTTGCACATTAGAGGGCGTTAATACATCAATTAGAAAGGTAGTTCATTTTGTGAATGGTGACTTCTGGCATCCATTCAGAATGAATGAAAACAGTGGGGCAAATTGTCTGAACAATTCATTCCTTCTTTCACCTAATACTGAAGAGTGAGAGCAAGTCATTGCTGATCTAAACTGTGCAGGAGGATACCCGGAAAAAATACACCAGGCAAGACAGTGTGAGTAAAATTAACATTGCTTGTTTCTATTTTTGGACTTACTGCTACAGTTAAAGAATAAAATACATAAACCAAAACAAGAATGGCTTTGTTTCAAATTTTAATTATCTTAGAATAAAAATGCAAGGAGACAATTGATGAGTAATACAACTTGGTAATTTATATATCACTCCCAAGAAAAGGGGAATATTCTAGCGTAGTGATTCCCATGACGTTAGGGGAGGGCAGTTAACTTGGGAAAGATGTTGCTATTCTAGTTCTTTGCATGAAGTTCAGGGTTCCAGCAGGGATCTGTCTGCATGTGGCCAGCTTGTCCCGCGCTTGCTGTTTCCTACTGCCTTTGTTTATCTTGTCTAGTTTAGAACATGAGCGCTTTGGGGACTGAAACCCAATCCTCCT